CAATGTGTATCATGGTTATTGCATCACAAAAAATCCCTTTAAGGAAGAGAGCTACAAATGACCAACAGGTCATCCCCTCCCCCTCCACTTCAGACCAACCCTCTGCGAAATTTGAGCTTTTGAGCATTTGTCCAAGAAAATTGGGTTCAAATGCCCCTGACAGGCACATTTTCTTTAATTGAATGATTCTTTGTGTGATCTATGATTGTGGAAGAATTTAGCAGTCACCTCTTAGTTTTCGGTGCAGCAGAGTGTTTTTTGCTTATTAGCATAATTCTATGATGTGAAAACTTTCTTGAATGACATTTGCTCAGAAAAGCTGACTCTTTACCTTTACCTTCCATATTTAATATCAAAACTTATGTATTCTGCTGCTTCATATTCTCCACCCCACCCAGGTAAGGTTAAAAAATGTCCTACCTTGGAGTATGGAACAGAGGAGGGGAAGGTGTGGATGTTAAAGCTTTAAATTAACTAGTGCATAGACCATAAGAAAGTATTTTTATAAAAAAACTAGATCATCAGATTTCACTACCCATTCCCATAGAAATCCTTAATGACTGCAGGGCAGCCCTCTTTGTGACTGTCTCTTGGGCCTTCATGGCGTAACGTGTCAACAATGAAATTCTGAGAAGTGTCTTTCCTCATAAAGCATCCTGTCTAACCTATGATTGTTAACCCCCTTAACTCCCAAGATCTCTTAGTAATTCTCCCTACTGTCTGCCATAAAATAGTGATCATTTCAATTTGCAGAATTTGGTATTGGATCAACTCGTAGTCCCCTAATTGAGTTTTCTTCTATATTCTCCTTATTTATCTGCTTGATTTTGTGTTGATATTGTAAGGAGAAATTCTGTCTTGGTCAGTCATGGGAGTTGAAGGGTTAAGCAACAGGAGCTTGATTTAGAAGGAGACAGAGAAAAGTTCTTAAAACTTATTTTGGCGTATCTCCAGCGAATTTTGATGTGTTTTTGGTAAGGCTTCGTACTCTTTTATGACTCTCTCACCAACAGGTAAATGCTTCCGCATTCTTCTGAACCGTATGCGACTCCTATCCTGTATTTATAGCAAAAGCTAAAAACAAACCAAGCTTTATGAAAGTTTATCTTAGTAGTGTTTATTAATAAAAATGAAGATTTATACGAGGGTTGGTTGTTGGGCCAAATCATATTGTAATTCACCCTACATGCTTTAAGATTCAAAGCACTTTCCGTTTTCGAGATGGTTCACTGAAACGACAGGATTGAACTCACAAACATTTGCAAAAGAACTGAAAAGGCACATTACATTTGATTAAATTTCTTTGATAATTTTGTACGGAATTCATTGTCGACCGTTTGGTACAATCGCCCTTGCTAAAAAGGCAAATGTTTTGCATTTTATGATGTCTTGTTTTATAACCCTTAGATCAAAGGAAACGTGTTGTTTTAAAGTGTTGTTGTTGAAATAAAAGATTTATCATATAAACTGCGGTGTTACACAGGGATTTCCGTCCCAGAGAAAAGCCGTAACAACACACATGTAAAAATATCTTATTTTTTCACGTGTGTTGATATAGACAATCAACTGCTGACACGTCACTCGCCTTTGGCGCCACTCGGTCAGATTGATGAATGAATGGCAAAGCGTTCACGATTCTCAATACAAGTTGTTTGTCGGAGCTTTCTCGAAATACGGCAGCTAAAACGCTAAAAACATCCGTTTCGCTGACAGACAGTGAGGTTTTAAACTTTTCTAGAAGGGGAAGAAAATCAATATATTATAAGAAAAACCGAAAGTTACGTATTCAATGGCTTCGGTGTTAGCATGCCTCTCGGCTAAGAATGAAAATCGACAGCTGAAAGATTTGCCACTAGCCGACTTTGGCCGTTCACCTGAAAGACTTCTTCTATCGGTAAGGACAAATGAGAATTTTGTAAATTGAAAATTAGGACTATTGTTGTTTTTGTAATCATGATTCAACGCATTTTTCCATTTTAGGAGTTAGCGCCAACGCACTCTACGATTGTTATTCGGGGATTGTCGATTCATTTATATTCATTAATAAATGAAGTCGGCTTTTCTTCTCAGTAAAGGGCTATTGTGTTTCTATGCTAGACAAAATAATACGTGGTTGCTTGTAGATATGGAATTTCTCTTCTCGTGTTCAACTCGACATCTCACTCGTTCGCTGCGCTCACTCGTTAGCTATCAAGTTACACACCCGAAGAGAAATTCCATATCTATGCGCGCCCATGTATTATTCTCTATTTATTTTTTTTTAGAGGGCACGGTAGCGAATCTTTCAATTTGATTGGTTCCTTACCCGGTCAGTATTTTCCTATCTCTGCGGGCCACGGTAACGCTTTCGTGAGTCGCCAAGTACATCCCAACTTTCGTTGCCATTTTTCATAAAGGCGTATCTCGTTTTTCCGGCTGGGCAGTATTTTTAAGCAAACACGTCGATCACTAACTCAAGCCGATGAATAACTTATGAATCCTCTCTTTTCTCTCACTCAAATCACTTTGGTTGACAGAAAAATATTGGTTTCAGAATGAATTTGTATCAACAATAGTGTCATTACGTTGGTTGACAAGCGGCCTAAAACCCGTCTGTAATTAATTTTAATCGTTCACAAAAAGTACCTAGAAAGTTAAAACGTGAGGTATTTGGTTACAGTTAAACTGAACGATGGAACTGTCATTCATTTAATACCCGAATTTTCTCAAGCAATTTGTTCGCAGTGAAAGAGCGAGCGAAGTTTTAAGTTAAGTTCTACAACAAATATACGCTCTCGGTGTCTTTCCAAGTCCGTTCTATTTGAACATTTGTACCGTAAATTGCACAACAGAAACTGAAGGAATTTTTTGAGAAAAGGCCGCATTAAATCCCCTTGTGTCTCGTTGGAGTGTGCCATTCGAATTTAGTTTTTGTGAAGGAAAGACCAGATTTACACACGCCATTGCAGCAAACAAACGAGCAAACTCTCACAACTTCAAAATAAAAAAATTTAATTTACTCACAATTACTTTCCTCGCCGTTTACTTAATAAACAGAGGTAAATCTTCGTACATGAATGAATCGTCGATGAGAGTGAATAATACTTTCCGTTAGATCATTGACTGATTTTGAAGAAAACATTGTCATGAAAGTCCTTGCCAAACTAGTTCCGTTGTTTTTCAAATGTTCTTACGCTTTTTTTTACTTACGCGCTCTCTAATTGACAGATGTCAGATTGTGACAGATACTTGTAAAAATAATGTTTCAAAGTTTGTTTGGAAGCCTTTTGAATTATCGTTACGGTAATGAAAATGTTTCGCTAAGGCATCTCTCTTGAATTTGCATCATCTCTATTTTAACTACCATTTACTCGCTCAAAAACTGTTAAGTTTATGGAAGATCTTGCCGTATTTACAGCCCTAAATCATTCGGGTTCTTTCGGAAAGAATTTCGTCAAGTTTCAAAAAAATAAATATGTTATTTACCGGCTAAGGGTCGGTCCGTATGGTGAAAAACTGTGACCGAGGTCACAGTTTTTCACCATACGGACCTCCCAGCCGGCAAGTAACATATATATATATCTACGCATGTAGCGCAGAAAATTGTATTCTTGCTTTATTTACCAAAATTAAGCCAGATTATAAGTTTTAATTCTTAAAAGTTCTCTCCTACGAAGCCTTTCCATGCTAATTACGGTAACAAACTATTCAGTTTCAAGTTCTTGGATTTTTTCAGTGATTGGGTTGTGTTCCGAACTAACATTGTAAAACAAAGGATTTTGGGCACCAATGCACTCATCAAATGGGTGCGTTAGATTGTTATTCAAAGACTAGTAGAAGATTCTTGTCAAAGCTCGATGAGAAAGTTTTGTCCCGTCAATAACAAGAATTGATCTGTTCTAAAGTTTTCTATTTTTCCTCAGCAATCATTTTAAAGCACACTCACAGTGTACTACAATAACGCAAGTTTTATTTATAACTTACGAGAACTATCGGGTCAGTGGAGACAATTTAGAGGCTCAGGGTAGAAAACGGCAGGAGGTTGAGAAAGAGAAAGAATTAGAAAAATTGTATCGCTGCTTTTGCTACTATTTCGGTATATCAGCTAATGATGCATTCCATGATAGAGTATGATCAAGGAATACTGTTCAGTCACTGATCTGCAGCCTCCTCATTGGCTCTAGGCTAGATCTTGGCAGTTGTGAAGTGCTCACCTGATACTTTTTCATCAAATGATTGTTGAATATGAATATGCTGCTCATAAGCGAGGTTCCTTCTGCAGCGGTGCCCACGCAAGCGAAAGACAACTACTGCAGCTATTAAAAAAACTGACACACCTATGACTAACTGGAAATAACCACATAGGACTTCCTCTATCATGTGGTGTTTGTGTTGGCATATGAAGAACTAGAAAAAAGTTAGAAAGCACTTTAGCAGGAAGGATGATTATCATCATAATCGTCGTCATTATTTCTGAGCAGCTTCAGAAGTAATATTTATACAAATTCAATAACAAGAGACCTCAAAGACTAGAGGAGAGGCCAGGGGAGGCCACCTCGGTTATCAGTCTGTCTGTAATTAACTTGTGAATGAGCGGCTTGGCCAATTCAGAAAATTGAAAACTTTTTTTTTTTAATGTATAAATAAGCTAATCGAACCGATGATCGATATCAGGAGAAGATTTCAAATTGTGGGACCTTGTTAGAGTAATGTGGACTGCTTAAGATTACAGGGACATTGATGTGGTCGATATCATGACTTGTGCGAAAGAGATCCTTAGCTTAAAAAAGATCAGAGAAACTAACTCCTTAAATAGGTAATGATTCCATTCGGTTTCTAGTGAGGGAGTGTTTGTAATTTTCAAATCGTTTAACACAGAGCACGCCAATGGAAACGCTCTGGAAATGAAAATTCAGTCACCAACATAAGAATATGCATTAGCAATCTAGTTCATGGGTATTTATTTCGACAAACAAATTGTTAAAACCTGTTAGCTTTTGTGATCCATAATTATGCTCCAAAACCGTAACCACAATCTCCTTATGATCTTCACCAGCCTGGTTGTGAGCGCTGCACAGGCAGACTCCGCTGTCGTTTGGCGTTACTCGATTGAGAACCAATGTATCATTACCAACAATTCTCCCTTGTTTCGTCCATGTTATGGTTGGTGCAGGAAGACCCTTTGCTTGGCTGTTTATTCGCAAGCTGTCCCCAACGTTTACGGAAACGTTTTCCTGTTTGGGACTGGCTATCTTAGGAGAATCTGTTGAGATATTTGAGAATAAGGTTTTTCTAAATCAGAAGTGAAAGTCAAAGAAGGAAAGCCATCACATTTTCTCAAAAGTGGCTAAGAGGGGTCCATAATTGGCCACTGAAAGACTATGGGCAAGGGGCTCTGAGTGGCCAGAGGCACATACTCAGAACATATTTGCCAAAGTACCCCCGCTTCCGGGTCTGTGGCATTCCTCCACAAATGAAATGTAACAAATATATTACCCTCAAGAAGAAGCATCACAGGATCCGTCAAAGGAGGCTGATGAAGGCCAAGCTCAACCTGAAGACAATAGTGATTCTCATCCTTCATGGTTAAACCATAGAGTGTGAATGCAACTTGAAGCTTGGACATGTTAAAGTCGTAGCTAATTTTCTTTTCGTAGTTTGGTCTTATCAATACCTCACCGTGTCTATCGATGACCAAGAGTTTTGTTTTCAGAAATCCTGGATCTTTCCAGATTCTAAACACCACTTCAAATATGCTACTATTCCACGTCTCTGAGGGAAGCAGCCCAAGCGTCCAATTAAGCGTAGCTTTGTCTTCGTTACTAGCAATCAGGGGATCACTTTGTCTAGAAACAATTTTAGGATACCCTCCTTGGCAAAATACTGTTAAATCGTGGAAAGAAATGGAAAATAAAAACAATAGAATGGTTATTATTGCCTAAATGCAGAATCAGAAGCGACTTCGTAAGCTAAGTTGTCAAATCTCTCTCGTTGACCAAAGACCGAAGAATTCCTTCCGTACTTTTTCCCTGTAATGGAATTGCTCTAGAAGCTTTTTACAAAGCTAATAATGTATCAGTTTGACAAGTAGACTGATCAAATGCAAATGATCTCTAGGTGCGTGTTAACGATTTGTAGTTTCCGCGTATTTCATTTCCATAATTCTGGATTCCTTATTTTCCATTCGTGCACTGAAACACTGTCGATTGATTTATGCACAGACTGAACCTAAACAATGGCCTTTCTCTTTGTCTTGTTCTTTCTCGGAAATAAATCACCTGAATATTAATCAAAAATCGTAGTTCAGATGTCGCTCTTTAGCTTTTGAATATTTTTTAGAATAAAACCGGTAGCGACTACATCGCAAAAACATACGGTCATTTAATTATTTATGAAAGGTCTTCCACAAGCAGTATCTTCAGCCGCTTCAAAAATATAGTCCGTGGTCATCTCTTTCTTTAAACCAACCGTTTGCCGATCCTGTTTTTCAGATTTCTCTGTTGGGTCGCAAAATCCTTGCTTTCAGGTATGGAAATTCGAAATTTTTCCATTCTAATTTAGACTTTGTTAAATCTAGTAAGTCTTAATATATCTTCCGTACACCAAACATTAAATTCTCTCTTATTGATGATTACTTTCACTTTCACCTTAAGCAGTTAATCTAGAACGAAAAAACCTTTTTTTGTCTGTGTTAAGCATCAATTGCTTTAAATATTGTTTCCGGTGTTAAAATCAGGCTACAAATGTACATAATTACGGTTTAGACTTAATTTCCTAGTTTAAGGTGGTATGACGAAGAGGCACTTCCGGGTTTGTGCGTTTATCCGATCGTCGGCTTCAGTTAAATGGTGAGATGAGTTGCATTGTTGTAGAAGGTCACGATGAAAGAAAAGAAAAGAATGAAGGAATCGTTTGGTTACTGACAATGTCAACACTCTGTTCTTAAAACTACCTGGGAGCCACAGAGACATGATGAGAGTAGCTGAAATCATCGTCGCCTTCGTTCGATACGGAGGGTCGATTCACCGCTTAATGGAATCTCGGATTTTCTTAGTTGTGATACCAATGCAGCTATTTTCAATGGTTGCGACTCGGAGAAGAGGACTTTCAGACTTAAAAGAAAAGTAAGTCCAAACCCTGACTATCTATCTGATGTTTTGTTGATATTCGCCATTATTTTCATGATATTGTTCCCGAGAAATTTAACCGTATAAGGTCATTTGAATTTCTTAGCAAATAACATAACTCTAGAACTAAGCGGCAAGCCTTGCGGAAAATGATAAAGCTACTAACAACCCAATAGCTGTGACAGTAGCTAAAACTCCAGGTAACTATTAATTCACTTAGTATATGAATTGTTTTTTCTTTGGCTATTTAGCTGCAGCCAACCACAGAGTATTGTAAACATCACAATAGTGCAGGACCGCACAAACACATCTTAAATGTCAACATTTGGAAGGCAATCCCATGAAGGTATAACTAACTTGTTATTTCATGTCATTTCTTAATTTTAGGAACCGGCAACAAAAATGAGGCTGTCATCCCTGCTACTATTGGGGCTGTTGCAGCTTTATTCCTGATTGGAGGAATTGCAATGTGGTACTTGTGCTGCTGCAAAAAAGGGCGGACGACCAAGAAATGACGAAAAACGCATCCCCATTGTAAAAAAAAATGTACTTGACAGCTTAGGTATCATAGTTCCTGAATGAATCATTCTGATCTCAAATACATTTTTAATGAGTTCTTTGAGATATAAGTTTCTGTGTAAACCAGTCAAATTTGGTTTGTAGTATGAACCTTACTCTTCAGCAACTAAGTTCCTCAACAAACCAATGACATGGAAGAATATACGTCATGTCATTTCTTAATTAAGGTTTTTCTGTTTTATTTATGTCAACAACAAATAAATAAATCTGTATATGAGGTAAATTAATCAATTTGAACCCAATTTTCTTCGACAAATCCTCAAAAATTAAAATTTGTAGAGTTGCCAAGGAGTGGAGGGGAAGGGGATGACCTATTGGTCATTTTCAGCTTTCTTCCTTAAAGAGGGATTTTTTGTGATGCAGTGACCATGATACACATTGCAATCACATGAGGTAAAATCTCTTGTTTGGTTTTTTAACAGGATATCTGCAGTGTAAGTCTGTGCTAGGATCTTGCAGCCTATGTAATGTTACAGCTGGACAATATCTTCTTGTCCCCAGTACACAGTGACTGAGACAAGTATTAATGCTAATCTTCCTGGACAGGTTGTTAATTCAAGAAAAACGTCACACCAGTGATTCAATAAGTTACCCTATTAACCCCTGAGTGTAATTGACACCTAAAATCACCACTGAATCAAACATTAAGGTCATGATAATAAAGGGAATGATTACCAACAAGAGAGGCTCTTGGCAGATGAACAAAGTCTTCATATTAGCACCACAGAAATATAATATACAGATCAGTATGGAGAATATGAATACCCATGATAGGGTGGAGAAGGTTAAGTTCACCTGAATGGGTGCTGGTAAACATTTATTTTCCTGGAGGGAGGCACTGTTAGAGGAGTGAGTCTCCTTAAAATAAGACTCAAAAAAATGGCCAATTATTGGCTCAAGCTTGCATGGACCTTTGGAGTCTAGCAAGGTTATTCTGGAGCCTGGGTGAATTTTGCTATTTGATCAAAGAAATAAACATTTCTTACTTTTATTAAGATGACTTCTTCTTAATGAGATAAGGGTATCTTTGCACAACTTAGGAGAGAATTTCAACACATACATTCTTCTAAGCTTATGTGTGCTAAAATGTTTCCAGGATCTCCCAAAGGTTTGGAAGTAGCTTGGATGGGTAAGAACTTGACATTGAACTTTAAAATAATGAATCTTACAGCTTACACAGACAAGCCCTTCACTGGACTATAAAAAACCACCCAGTGCCAGCACCCCACCTCCCCCTAACCAGATTAATCTCTTCAAATCTAGAATGGGCTAAAAAGTAATTAATTATGCAAGATATGCAAAGTTCATTTTCCACTACAACTGCTTATCCTAATACCACAAACAAAATGGGAAAACATTTATTACATCATCACAACTATAATGTCTCCTGCTAATCCTAATTGTTACAACACAGTTATCTGAGTGTACAGTTTACATTAAAAAAAGCCATATTTAATTTGCTTACATCAAACTTATAATTAGCAGTGCACAAGGATAATGCCTTCCATGCACCTGATAATTGAAACTGTACAACAGCATTTGCATTATCATTGTTATTCTTGACTAACTACATACACAAGACATTCAATTTGAAAAATTTATTTAGGATGAGTGACACTCTGTGTTCTAGTATATGCAACATGATACAATCTTGATATGTGCACCCTGAAACTAGGGTGCACATAAAAAACCACTAAAAAAACAATCAGAATGGCAAGTATAATTGCAGCAGAAACTGCTACTGCGATGATGACATGATTTGTGCTTCCTGTACATACAAAAGAAAATAGAAAAATTAGAATGACAAGCACAATTTATGATTTAGAAGAGGTAATAATTGATATTATATAAACAATTGTGTGTTCAACTTGGTTAATTTATTAGGATATATTAACAGAGGTTAACATGAAACCCATGCATTACAAATGAACTTTCAGCTTAATCAATAAGCATTACATAATTCATGCTTATGTTGATTAACGGACTGGGTGAACGACAAATGGATAGATTTTCCAATTTAAAAGCATCATCCATGAGAATTCAAAATATCTTGAATACAAGAACCCAAAAACTTGACATGCTTTATGTCTATTTGAAAAAAGAACACTACAAAAGTAACATTACCTGAGTGTATATTAATTTATGACATACATGTAGCTGCCTCAAGTTTTAGAGTGGCTTTAAGTAGTAAACTAAGTAAAACTAAATGTGTGAATCGATTTTCAGATGGACTGAATTAATTTTATACCCAGTATAAAGGGGCTTAAGCCTCACACACCATCTCCATGTTACCCATTAGATACCTGAATTTAATGCTTAATTTTTCATCCCAGCTGCATGAGTGATGCCTTTTTACCTTTAGAAACTGGTTCCTTGGAGCCTGAACCTGTATTGGTTGAAGCCTGAGTAGAACTTGGTTTACCTGCGATAATGAAAATGGTAAGTCTGTTGCATGCAATCTGCTATGTAAAAACAAAGGAAAAAGAGTCACCCAAGCTTTATGAGATTCTGGCTGCGGTGAAACCTGCCATCAGTCAAGGTATTGAATAGGATAAATTTATAATTGTACTATAATTGTGTGACTTGTGTTGTCATTTTACATTGAAGGCAAATTAAAGAAAGAAAAACTGTATAATTAACAACATGCCAATTTGCCTCACAAGAAAAACTTTTTCAGTTAAGATACTAAGTTAATTATTATTCTGCTTGACCATTTCCTCATCAAATACACCTTTTTACCTGAAAAAACCTGTTCTGTGGAGCCTGAATCCATCTCAACAGTTGTCACCTTTGTTGGCTCTGGCTTATCTGCAATGATGAAAAAGCAGATTTGTGTCATCATTGTTTAAACAAATGGAAAAGTTACAATGTAACTGTTCACCTTTTCAGTAAATAGATACAAAAAGGCAAGTTGGAAGACAATATGGTTCTACCATATAAAATTGTCCTAGAACCGAAAGCAATTAAAAGTATTTTTCATAACAAATTCCTTACTCTGTATATATATATATATTCTTCACTGCTGTATATGAGCCACTATTTACTTGGTTGTACAATCAAATCACACTAGTTGCACAATCATTTTATTTAACTCAGCCTTAATTCCTCAGGCCACTATCAGGGCCACATTTACTCAGCTTGCACAAACCTTAAAATTGAAGTATTCAATAAATAGCTACATGCAGACAAGGATGCTCTTTAGATAAGTACCCTGGGCTGACTGAGATAGACACACATCCTGAGGTATTTTATTTAAAACAATGTAAGAGGCAACCAGGATATCCTGACATCAAGTAAATTAACCCTTTAACTCCCATGATCTGATTGTTAATTCTCCCCTCTAGATACTTCACATTTCCTTGTAAATTGGCTATGAGAAGTTGGTGTTTGATCAAGGTAATATCTTGTACCTGATGAGTTCAAGTATTCGATCACTATATGTTTGCTTGATAATGCATGGATATTATAAGGAGAAGTTACATGTTAATCACTTCTTGGAGTGAGAGGTTAAAGTAAGCCATCTGACTTTACCTTTGACAGACAGCATGAAACTCTTCAAAGGTTGGTCTATAGTACAATGGTGGTTAAATCCTAAGCAGTAAGGATATAAACTGTAACAGCCCTCCATTGACTTGGTTATATCTCTTAATGTGATATTAAGAGTTTTTTCTCCCGAATGTCTAAGACCATAATTTTCTTTGCACCAGGGGTTTGCATGGTAGCAGGTTCCAGTACCGTTTTCTCCTTTTAGGAGCTTGATAATGCGGATTAAAGGAGAGCCTTTACCAAGGTATGCAAACTCAGCCTGTTGATTGTCATCTGATATGTTGACCATCATTGTCAGTGTTCCACCAACAGGAACTGTTAAAAAGAATAGTATAAGCAAATAAAATGTCAAATTTGTCATACACCTATACACTTCTTGAGAGCCTGGACAACTAAAAGGTATATTGAAGCATATATTGCTAATTTAACCTCAGTATGTGCCCAAACATAAACAAGATGCCGCCTTAAAGTTGTTAGAGAATGAGTTATTAACTTACTATTGGCTGTAGGTTAAGAATAGGGGTGGGAAATTTAGGCTTTTCTACACTGCCAGTAGTCACCATGAGTTTATATTAATTCTACATCAAAAGTGATTCGCTCTTAAGGCCTTGCTTTGGCTCATAGTGTCCTTGTGAATGAGCTGAAGGACTGATGTTTAAGAACAAAAAACCATACAAATCAGTCAATAGATAAATTATAAACAGAAATGTATTTTTTCACTTGCCATTATAATTTTCAACACTCAGGTTGTTAGCACGTCTACATGTTGGTCCAGCTGTAAATTAAATGAAAAATTGTGATTCAAGGGTCACTTGCAGTAAAAAAGTATTTGCACTTCTCCAATAAGTCTAAAAATCCGGCCCTTTGGAGAATTGCCATGATGTAAGCTTTTTAAAAAAACTTATTGTTCCGCTTCTGAGCCTCTAATCATAAACCACAGGGCTGTGGCAATGAAATAGATTATACCCTTGCCTATCAAAGTGTCATCCCCTTTGTAGAAAGATAGCACCCCGATCGTATTTCACTGCGCATGCCCAATCGTGACTCGTGAAAAAGAATCCTACAATCACGTGACAGGAACGTCCTTAATATATTTGGGAAACGGTCGTTCGTTGACCCCATTCATATTACAAAGCTTAACTGAAGCAAAATCATAATTAAGCGCCGCTCTCGCTATGAGCGGTCCTCTCGACTTCTCGTCGGAAAAAAGTTCTCTTTTATTTTTTGCCCATGAAAAGGGTTTAGGACACATGCTTCAAAAATGGTTAACCAAAGTTGTTCTCCAATTCTCTTTTTTTGCCAAAAATGACTTTTGGCTGGACCACTCGTGTGGAAAGCGATCGAAAGTGAAAATTTCATAGATTGTGTCCAGCGCGCAGCGACTGCAATAATATAGCTCACGGAATTCTATCTTGCTACAAGTTACAAGATGTATTCAGCTAGTTCACAGACAAAATATGGTAACTTCACCTGAGATATTTTTCATACTGGCGTGATCAGAGGACACCCTTCTCTTCGACCTTAATATCACCAATTTGTACGAAAGAATTCTCAAAATGCAGGCATTAGTGGCGCTAAAATAGTATTTTCAGAGAGGGGGCCCAGCTGCGTTCCGTGTGCTAAATCTCGAGAGAAACAGCAAGAATTCTTTCAGAATGTATCCGTGTTGTTTTGTGAATAATACTGTAACGTATTTTAACCCATTTAGGTGTCCTTTTAAGGTACGCGACATGTCTGTAATGACCAGAGTGCCAAATTTTATTCTTTAATTTTGATCCTCTTCACGTACTACGGTGGCCCACAACTGTCAAGGCAAAACAAAGAAAACGAGTTGGTTAGCGGCTGTTATTTTTATCTGAAATGGTATGTCGTGTAACAGTAACAAAACCGCCATTTTTCGAGCGCACGATGTTTTGCACCGCGTGTGGTTCGGTAATAGATGAAGATGCAAACTTCAAAGATGCAAATAAGGATTTTTCAACAGGTGGAAAATACTGTACGCCTGCAAACAGTCAGAGAGCACGAGGTTAGAGGCCAAAACATTCCTGATTATTTCCAAAATCATTTATCTTGAGTTTTATTGATGTTAAAAAGACTTAAGGAAATAACACTGTTTAAAGTAAAATTTCCTCTGAGGTGTAAGCTACATTATTTTGCTTCGCAAAGTGCTTTGTGAGCAAACTCGTGAATTGACAGATGACTTACATGATTTTTTGGATTATGTTTAATGTTATCTGGTTTAGGGAATTTTGTGTTTGATTATCATATTTAGAGTAAGAGCAGTAGTTCAGTGTTCGCTAATGTAGCAAAGAAACAAAGTAATGTTGGGATAAGAAGGCATTACAATTGAAATGATCATGCTATTACATTTGACAAGGGTGGATGATGTCATGTGTTTTAAACATATATCATTTTTGTTTCTGGTTCAAAAGAAAAGGTTGGAAGTAAATGTGGGTGAAAAGTGAAATTTACTGTCTATCGTTGGAAATATTGGAAAATCAAGGGAATACTGTCTCACTGTCTTCAATACTGTCTGATATAACTAAGCCCAGACTGCCACCGTCATTTTGGATTTCCGCCTGGGTAGATTTTGGTCAGGTGTTAAGCAACGTGTAATCGAGAACAAGATAGAATTTCATTTCACGCCTATTTATCAATTTTGAGGTGTATAACTTTCGCATTTTAGTACGTAATATTGATTTTGAATCTTCAAATTGTCTTGAAACTTAAAAGAAAATTGTTCTTTAAAACTTTACTGAAAATCGCTAGCCAAAATTATTTGTTTAGGTGTTATTTGATTTTCGTGTTAACCTGTAATTTCGTCAGTCGCGGGCACCTTTTGTTGCTTCACACAGAAAAAACACACGATACGAAATGTAGTGATCAATTTTGTCCCCAATCTCACGCCATAACAGAAAAAGCTTTTGAACACCTGTGAACTCTGAGCGCTTCGGAGTAAGTGATAATTATAATGAATCTTCGGATTGTTTTCAATTTCAAGGATTGTTAATTAAAATATTATGAAAAACGAAGGTTTGCCTCTTATTTCATTGTGAATCCTCGCACGCCTACCAGTCACTGGCGCCACTTGTTGAAACTAAAACGAATAAATATAAACTCTTTTAAGATTATTATTGGCTTCTTTTTCATCCCACCACTATTCTTAGCAACAAAGGTCGCCATTTCGTTTGGTTACTGTTACACGTCGTACCATTTCAGATGCAAATAACAACCGCTGACCAACTCGTTTTCTTTGTTTTGCTTTCTTTGTTTTGCCGTGAGTTAATTTTGTTTTGCCGTGAGTAAAGTTTGTAGTGCCGTGACTTTTTGGTTTGCTGTGACAGTTGTGGGCCAACGCACTCCACACTGTGCGTATTTCACGCCCTGATATTTCAACGTTCTTCTTTGTTTACTTTGTAAGTCACGCAATCGCGCAAGCGTTACCACCGATCACGTTTACGCAGTTATGAAAACCTAAAATCCTCAACGTAGAAGATACGCAAACGAAGTTTTCAGAATTATGCAAATAATAGAAATAGTAGAGATGGTAGCACAAGCGTTAGTACCGAGCACGTTTACGTAATTATGAAAACCCAAAATCCTCAACGTAGAAGATACTCAAACGAAGTTTTCAGAATTATGCAAATGATAGAAATGAGTCTTTAACACGAGCATAACTGAGCAAATACTTGCGTTGCTTTTAAGATGTTGGGGAATGAAAGTTAGAGACTCACCTGCGAGTTTGAGGCAATCGGTGACCTCATTGGCGTAAAAAATATACACTGATATGCTTTTTAGCCCGATTAACGCCTGCATTTTTAGATTTCTTTCTTACAAATTAAGGAATTTTTTTATATGCAAATTGAGTTCGCAGAGAAGGGTCTCCTCTGATCACGCTTGTATGAAAAATAACTCAGGTGAAGTTTCCATATTTTGTCTTTAAACTAACTGAAGACATTTTGTAACTTGGACCAAGATAGAATTCCGTGAGCTATATTATTGCAATCGCTGCGCGCTGGACACAATCTGTGAAATTCACACTTTCGATCGCTTCTGTCCACACGAGTGGCCTAGCCAAATATCATTTTTAGCTTTTGGCGACGCAAAACGAGAGAATTGGAGAACGACTAAACTTTTTTTGAAACATGTGTCCTAAACCCTTTTCTTGAGCGAGAAATAAAAGAAAACTTTTTTCCGAAAAAACGAGAGAGGACCGCTTTTAGCGAGAGCGACACGAAAAAACCGTTTCAATTAAAAATTGAAACGATTTTCGTCTGGGTGGGTGTTCTACCTGTTGGTAAAATAAGGAATGAGTCCGCAAAATAACACGTCCACGAGAGTTTTGTTCCTCACACGAAACTACGAAACTAGAATGTGTTTTTGTTACACTTACCTCCGTCCATGGGTATCATCCAAAATAGAAGGCAAAACGTGATCTTCGTCATTTCGTGGTCCATGACAGTCTGTAACTCACAAAATTGAATAGAGGGGGTAAGTTTCTAAAGAAACTGTGGTGCTGCGTCGGTGGTAGGGTGTAACAGAGTAAATAAGTATTATCAACTGAGTTGTTAACGTCAATTGCCCACCGTAAGGAGTTTTAATTGTGTAGTTTTGCGCTAGCCCTTCGTCAGAGCGAAACGTCTTTTGCCCGAACTTACAGCAAATAATTTAGAATATGCTCGTGCTTCGTATTTTGTAGTTTCACCTCGCTGTCTGATTGGTTGATGGGACAATAAACAAAGAACTCACGCCTCTCAAGAAAAAACCTCGTCGATGAATAATATGCGTTGCTCGTAACTTGGTAAAAGGAGAGGAATGAATGTAGTATCTTTCATGAAATCTTTCATGTTCGAATACTTTAATCAATTTGTCTCCTACACTGTAGAGGCTTAGGTTAACATTTGATATCTATTCTCTATTGTTGGGCACATGCCAAGATTATCACTCCATAGTTTGAGAAATTTATAGTGTTGTGAGAGAAAGGTTATATGTAAATCCTGTCGTCTGTCATTGTCGTCTGTCATCCGTAACGAGCATTATCAACTGAGTTGTTAACGTAAATTGGCCACCGTAAAGAGTTTTAACTGAGAAGTTTCGCGTTAATAACCCTTCGTCAGAGCGAAACGTCTTTTGCCCGAACTTAAAGCAAATAACTATGGCGTGCTGTGCTTCCTATTTTGTAGTTTTACCTCGCTGTCTGATCGGTTGATCGGGACAATAAACAAACAACTCACGCCTCTCAAGAAAAAACTTCGTCGATGAATAATATACGTCGCTCGTAACTTGGTAAAAGGAGAGGAATGACTGGGGTATTTTTCATGAAATCTTTCATGTTTGAATACTGTAATCAATTTAGCTCTCACACTGTATAGGGTTAGGTGAACATTTCATATGAACAGAGTAGATGATAGATATAACTTGGGTACATGCCAAGATTGTCACCCCATAGTTTGAACAATTAACAGTGTTGTGAGAGAAGAGGTTATAACCTTTCGCATTCGTAAGAATCGATCATGTAAATCCTATTGTCTGTCTTCCTTAAGAGACTAAAAAGTCGGTAATTTCCTATTTCTGGATTTCCGAGAAAAGCTTATAATTGTTTTACAGTTTATTCGTATTGTATTCCGCTTTCCCTTTCAAGTGTATTCGCCTGCTGCGTGTCTGAAACGCTGCGCAGTTTTTTGATATTAGTCAGGCTTGAATCTTTGCGTAATTTGTGTCTCTCTAACACACAGAAAGTCGCCGAGGGAGTTGGTGAAGTGTCGCCATTAATGAAAATGATATGTCGGTCGAATTTTGTTTGGCTGGCGTCCTTCTTGCTTGCAACGAAGAGTCTTAGTATCGAGCGTGGATTTGCGAGTTTACAAGCGTGTTGGATAAAGAAGCAGGATTATTGTGAGTATAATTGCGTCCTGGTTTTTTTGGCTGGTTTTTCTGGTGACCCTCCCAGGGACTTATGCTCGGCTTCTCGCCGTAACCTGGGGTAAGCCAGTCTTTGGTTGTTTTCCAAT